GGGAGATCTCCAGCTGTGAGTGCACAGGGGTGTGTGCTTGTGGGATTCTCCTCTTTAAGTGTTTGTTTTCTGGGAGGTGGGGGGGCAGCAGGGAGACAGAAACTGCTGTTTTTTAGATCGGGGTCTTTTGGGGAAAGTGCAAGGTCTACACCCCGACAAAAAGGATCAGTGCCATAATAATGATAAAGAACTGAGCATTTTATTAGGATACAAGCCCTGACAACAACGGCATGCGCTGGAAAAGTAATATCTCGAGACATCGAGTCGGGTTCTTGAGGGTTTCCGAGCTGGATTCACGATTTTGTTACACAAGCAGTGGAACTGTCACCTGAGGGGGGGGGGGCAGGACATTTGAGTGGGAGCAACAGGAAGTCTAGAAGCGGTTCAGGGTTAGAGTGAACTCTGACCTCTCGGGCATCATCCCGCCTCGCTCCTTATCCACGTAGCGGGAAGGAGAACCGGTACCTGGGGCCCTCCAAGATCCTCCTGTTGGCGTGAGCAAGAGAGAAAAAGGGGTCAGAACTTGATTACAGTTCCACACTGTAACGCCTCTGCCGCTGTCCAGATCATCATCCAGACATCAGATACGGCCTGATGATGGAATAATAAGCGAGCCTGAAGGCCCCCTGTGGCTTGCGCAGTACTGGTACGTGAATCAGAGTGGTTGAGCTCTCCAGCTGGTCATGCTGTGGGCTACGGTCATAACCTGACTGTGACCAGGACTCCTTGAGTGGGGACACACAAGTGGCTGAGCATGACCAGGGTTCGGTGGGGTCAAGACAGACCAGGAATCCTGATGTTGCTGTGCAAAAGTCCTTTGGTGGCTGCATCTGTCCCCGATTGGATACAATTCCACTAGGGGGCGCTGTCGGAGACCAGAGAATAAAAAGATGGGTGGCCCAATGGTTTCAGGAGGGGGTTTTTCAGAAAAAAGATATGTTCTGATTGAAGGTGAATGGCAGGGACACCAGAGGCTACTGTCACCTGATTAAAGGTGACAGACATTAAAGGAAACAGATATGCACTTTCATGGAGTTCAGCACTGCTTGTGAAAGACAGCAGGTTTATCATGAGAGTCTGTGACAGTTCATTGATCTTCACCTCTGGTGCCAGAGATCCACAGGGTTTTCTACTGTAATCTTATAATGAGTTAATTGAATCAACCAATGGCTTAATTGGTCCTTAATCACCAGGGAGTGAGTGGTGGCTCCAGCATTCACATCCAGTGGAGGGGTTGAAGTGGGAAATACAGACACATGGAGGGTAGTGGCATGATTATGTTGCTGTGGGAGGTCAATAAACCATGTTTATGTTGCTTTTTTTTTGGGAGGGGGGAGGGGTGTGTCTTTAAAATTTGTGCTGGTGTGCTGGAAGTTCTTGGGGAGCAGAGGCAGTAGTAGTAGTAGTGCTGGATCTCTGGGACTAGAAGTGAGGATCATGGCTTTACATAAACATCCTTTACAATCTAGACACATTTCTACATTCATTTTTTTTATACCATGCAGTGAACCTGCAGTTCACATTTCCTGATGGATTCCTCATTAATAAGAACTCACCTGTCCCCGCCCTTCTGGGGGAGTGGCCTGTCCATGGACACGCCCAGCCGTGGGAGGTCCCTCTTCTCCAGGCTGTCGGAGCTGAGCCCCGCCTCTGGCACACCCTCCAATAATCTGTCTCCTCCAGCCTGTCCATCAAAAGAGTCCAGGGCTCTCAGTAGGCCAAGGAGCTGCAGGGGAGGGGCAAATGCAATCATTTCAAAAGTAGAGTGGAGTAAATATCCATGAGAGGGCAAATTTTCCCAATTGGCTTCCCCAATTAGCCTACAAGTATTTTGGGCGACGGAGGGGGGGTGGGGGGGGAGATTGTAGGAGGAAACTGGTGCACCCGGAGAAAACCCGCACTAACAGAGGCAGAACATACAAACTCCACACAGATAGCAATCCAGGTCCAGCATTGAACCCAGGGCCCCAGCACTGCCAGGCAGCAAAGCTAACCACTGCATAATCGAACATATTCAATATCAATACACCCGATTCTACTCCTCATGGACGAGGACGATATTCTAATCACATTAGTTTACTGTAATGTAATACTGCAAATAAACACAGCACTCGATGAAGCTATCGTGCGAAGGGCTGCTGGCGGTGTAGTGATCTTCGGCCCTCCCCACCCCAGCAATGCGTTTTTTGTCGTCCATCTTTGAGATGACTCCCCAACGAAACCTCTGCAGCACGCGCTCGGCACCTGGCTGTTTGTGGTTGCTCGTGACCTCATGAGCTGGTCCTCTATTTCAGCCACAGGAAGCCAGGGGCAACTGGGCTGGCCAGCGACTCAGCAAGGGGGCATTGTATTGGGGTGGTAAGAAGAAAAACATTGAATTGCATTACATAGCAGAGCTTGACCCTGGTGTGAGTGTGCGTGTCCGTGTCTGTGTGTGACCTGCGATGGACCGGGTCCAGTGAGTATCCTGTCTGGCGACCACCGCTCGCCGGGACGGGCCTCGGATCCCTGCGATCCTGTATCGGATTAACCCGTTAGGAAGTGGACGGCCGAAGGGAAGAATGGATAGATCCAATTCGGGTTTTACACTCCACTTCTGTGCAGGAGTATAAAAACAGCCCGGAAGCTTTTGTTTCGGTTGAAGAAGTGTAAAAGTGGACGCAGGGGACGGAGCCTCGCGCACAGTGGTGTGCTACTCACGCTGCTGGTGTAGACTGGACTGCGGCACTGACAATGGTGCGCTCCCAACAGGAACGACGAACAGACGTCAGACGTGCTTAAAACAACTCTTCTAGCCTAGATTATGCTGAAAAGTGCGATTGACCTGTGAAAGACCTTCTCTTAGTCCCTTGGCCTGCCCTGTGGTAGTGTACTCAAAGTGCTGAGGGAAGGTCTCTGGACTGGTACTGAAATCCCTATTACTGAACCACGCTGGTCTCTGTTCATGCAACACGCAATAGAAGTCCTACCTTGTGTGGTTGCCTTTTACCACTGGTGGCTCCAGTTTCTCCTCCTCATGAGTTTCAGCCCAAACAAGCAGCAAACCGCCAACACAGCGTGGCAGTTTTGAAGTAGTTCATGCTAGGGAGCTTGAAAACGAGCTTTCCTGAGCCGGTTTCCCGCCCGAACCGGTACTCTTTGACCTACCTCACTGAGAGTTTCCGACTGCAGTGGCTCGGCATGGCTCTGCCACACTGCCAACACAACCAGCCCCACGGAGAACAGCAGCTTGCGTCTCATTTCTGGTCAGAGCGAGTGATCCCTCCACGCACACGGTGTTCACTGGAACAGGGAGAGGCAGCATCACAGTCTGCCAGCCGAATGCTCAGGGCTCCACCTTCACATTGCAGAGGCAAACTAAACTGACTAATTCACACCACCTTCCCTGCCAACTGATTATTCCTCTGACAGCACCCCCCCCGAATTCAATCCTAAATTCTTAACCGACTTCATTAATTTCACAAAGGGAGCTGCACCAGCGTGTGTAATAATAATAATAATAATAATAATAATAAACCTTATTTTATATAGCACCTTTAAAGGTGGCTTCTCAAAGCGCTTTACAGGATGACAACAGCAATAAATAAGAAGACTACACAAGATAAAACACAATTACAATATATAGAGGAGACCGTGGAAGGTGGGACTAAGAAGAGCAGAG